CACACACACACACACACACACACACACACACACAGCGGAGTCGTCACAATATGCGTTTTCGCATTTGCATATAAGCAAAAACGCATAAAAATCATAATGGTATGGGCAAATCTTTTCCATTACAGTTCGCTCATTGTCTTTTGCGACACCACCAGTGCCGCCATCGTGTTTCTGCTTGACTGGTGACAAATCATATTCAAGGGACACCGTAGCAGGCCTATTCTTGCGTACAGAGGAAGAAGAGCATTGTTTAGGATGGTGGTGCTGCATCATGGGGCCGAGTGAACCTCAGAACGTCGTCGTCGACGCTTTTTCTATGCATGATCCAGTACACTGTTTGGCGTGACACGGTAGTCTGCAATGCAGTAATTCCATTTCCGAATCGGTAATCCTGATGTGATACCTCATAACTACTACGGCAAACCTTCGGTATTATGACAGAAGTATCTAGTGTTGTTAACATAGTGAAACATTTTAATTTATGCTCAACAATACGTTACATGCAAAATCATGCATTTTTGCACTATGTAGTGAGACAACTTAGAAAACAGCTGGATTTTGTGACTTACAAGTTTTTGAAGTTGAAACAGATAATTGTGCAGCAATGTGGTTTATCATTTATCGATTTCGGCTTCAGTGACCTGACATAGTGGAAGTTGCTGACTGCGAAAGATAGTTCATGAAGAGCATTATTCACTCCTTTAAGCGTTGCCTTTCCGCAGTGAAAAGGAATATCAGTCACTGATAATGCAAAATTGCATAGTCATGGGAAACACAGTCGGTATTCATATTATGTTTTGAACAGCAGTGAGCCCAAATCAATTTGGTAGCTGAAATCTGAATTTGATAAGTGAAGTTTGTCTGTTGGGAAAAGACATGAATGGGCATGATTTTACAGATTTGTGGTCATAGTATCAACCAAGTAACCGAGGCTGCGATGCACTAGGCTTGCCTGTGCGGCAGTGCTTTTTTACATGATTCCGTCCTGTAAAGAGACCGCCTGCTTTATCGGAATGTATTAACAAATTGCCGTGTTACCATTTGTTCGTCTGATGCGTCTATAGATAGGGCCCACTCTTAGGCAGAAGTTCATCTTACGCTTGGTGGCTCGCACATGAATAGCAAATACCTTCAGA